GTCTTTCCTCTGAGAATGGGGGTAAGGTGACAAAGGAATTAAGGTCTCACGCTCACTCTGCTCAGTGGTAGAGGGCACGGGATGAAACATCGATAAGACAAATAACCGGTAAGCAAATGTACTCTAGGTGTGGTAAGGGAGGAGGCCGGCCGGCCGACGCCCGCGCGCGGACGCACAGCGGCGCGCTCCTTTTTGACCTTCGAGCACAAACAGCTGCGGGATAGTACCGCAGCTACACTCATACAGTGCGCAGCGAGGCAAGTAATATGATAAGCAGTATTAGGATGAGCCGGGGCGGAGCATATGAACTCCCCCCGCGGCGGGCATCGTAGAGCCCATCCAGCCACAGCACCCCCGGCCTGTACATATACACAACCACCGGAGCCAACCGCAAAATAATTGCACGGCTCAACGGCGGCTGCCAGGGGGCTGAGGGCCGAAGAGGCCCGACGACTCCCACCATTAGATAAACAAATTCTCTTCGCCGGTACGACTTCGTCGATCGGTAGAGCTGCTTTCTTCGTCCGATGCGACTTCGTCGGTCGGCGAAAATTCTCTCGCATGCGCCTGCGGCGACTAAGTCACGCGGGCCAGGCTCAGTCCAGATCCTCGAAAAGGGTTGCCCCCCGTCGGTGGGGTCGGAGGCCTCGGACGCGATGGCGCCGAGCCTCCTGTTTGTCCCTCGCCGCCACGAGGCGAGCGGGACCCCCCTTTGCCGCGGCCAGCGTAGCACGCCGATCTGTAGTGCTTGTCTTTGTTCTTGGGCGCCGTCCCCTTCGGCGGGATGCGGAAGTCATGTTCAGCCAGAGACAGGGCATGCCACGTCTGCGACCACCAGACGTCGTAGGACAGCCACCAGATCCAATCCCGATGGACGTCGCATCCGTCCTGCACATCATTCATGTAGTGCAGGTAGGAGACGAACGGGTCGTAGCGAGCAGCGCCCCAGCCGACGTCCATGGCACCATCGCGCGCGCGCTGGGGCCTCGACCAATCCCGTGCGTCTGAATACCATGAGTATTCTTCTCCTGCCGAGGCGGCTGGGCCGCTGGCAGAATATGGGGATTCGGTAACTTCGTCGCCAGCCCGAGCGTCTTGGACGTCAGGTCTGCGCGGCGGAGGTGGCAGTTGCGGTCTCGCTTTCACCGCGTCCTGTGGTCGTCTCGGCCCCACCGAACCAGCTTGGCTGTCGGTGGGCTCACTGGCACGTCCACTCTCACGAACATACTGTTCTCGATCGCGAATGAACTTCAGCATATTCCTAGCAGCAGTAGCTATAAGAATGCCAAGTGTACCGCATGCAGTACGGAACGGGCCTACATCTTTATCTTGAAGCTCCGTGTTATCATCTTCGTACCTGCTCTGAAGCAAATAAATGGCCTCCTGTGGCAATGAGCCCTGGCGACGAATGTCGGTTCGAACTTGTCTACCTAAATTACGGGCCCATTCCTCTATGAGGTCGTCCGTTTGAACCGCAGCGCGGATGCGACAGTCAAGGGCATGTGCATCCCTTCGTCGCTTGAAATGATCATCATCTGAGCTCCCGCCCGCGGCAAGAATTGTTCTCCCCGGGTAATCTACGAAGTGTCCTTCTGAGATAAAGGAGCTCATACTTTCGCGAACGATAGCAACCACTCTCATTACACGAAGACCAAGTTGCATCTCCGATGCAGGGGCCATCCAGTTCCCTTCAACGATGTTCCCCACGATTTCTGGGGCTTCACGTTGTGTTTTCCCCTGACAGTCGCAACCTATTGGGGCCGTTGTTATTTGAGCGAACACTTGCGTATTCAATGACATATTGAGCTGTTATCGCTCTAGCCTCAATCCCAGTCACAGGTAAATGTTTTGAACTGTCCTCACAGTGTTTATATGAATATCCGCTGGGATGATCAAGTCTGGTCGTCCCGCCAGTAATCAGCGTGGTCTTAAACCCGCTGATGGCAGCGAAGTCAAGTGTGACCTGCAGGTTTGCGTCTGCCGTCTCGGCTTGGCCGGAGGCAGGTTGCATCGTTCCCGCTATGAGACGATGGTCGCGACACTGGTTTGCTCGCCTAGTGACAGAACGAGAGTCACGACTCGGTCTTGCCACAAGGCTGTTTTCCCAGGCAACCGGTGGACGTCCGCGAGAGCTTTGCCCTGCGGCGTCTGCGGCATCGTCCTGCTGCACGGGCATCCACGGTCTTCCCATGGATACTTGATCGACTATCGACTGGAGTGTCGGGACGAAAACGTTTTGATTATTCATCGTGCGCTGCCATCTTTCCCAACCGTTCATCGGTTCATGGAGGTCGTCTGGCTGGTCTGGCCAGTCAAACGCTGCCAGAGCTGGACAAGACATTGGGCGCGCATACTGGTCGATATCCGTTTTCCAGCGCAGGGGCCACCATACTTGAATTGCAGGAACTTGCGTCCTCGCTCTTGACGCCAAGAATGCGAACCATCCAATGAACCTCCGTTTCAAGTGCTCCAAATACTGGAAGAAAGGGCCATGACGCGC